AGGAGCCACCAGGCCTCCCTCCCAAAATCCCCCCAGCGATCCCAATACCGCCTCAAGACCACTCCAAATTTCCCCTTAAATTATCCCCAAATCCCCTCCAGACCCAAATATCTCCCTGAAAATCCTCCTTAGACCCTCTATTCTCTCAAAGACCCTCCTCAACCCCTCCAGAATCCCCTCAAAACTCCCCCAAGGACCCCCATACCCCCTAAAGACCAACCCAAATTTCCCCTTAAATTATCCCCAAATCCCCTCCAGACCCCAATATCTCCTCAAGGACCTTCCTCAACCCCAAAGAATCCCCTCAAAACTCCTCCAAGGACCCTCTTATCGCCCAAACCCCTCAAAGACCAACCCAAATTTCCCCTTCAGCACCTCAATAACCCCCAAATCCTTTCCAGACTCAAATATCTCCCTGAAAACCCCACCACAGAGCCCGGTATCCCTTCAAGGACCCTCCTGGGACCCTCAACGCCCCCAGAATCCCCTCAAAATCCCCCAAAGACCAACCCAGATTTCCCCTTCAGCACCTCAATAACCCCCAAATCCCTTCCAGACCCAAATATCTCCCTGAAAATCCTCCCTAGACCCCAATATCTCCTCAAGGACCCTCCTCAACCCCTCCAGCATCCCCTCAAAACCCCCTCATCCCCCAAAGACCAACCCAAATTTCCCCTTCAGCACCTCAATGACCCCCAATTCCCTTCCAGACTCAAATATCTCCCTGAAAAACCCACCACGGAGCCCGGTATCCCCTCAGGGACCCCTCCTGGGACCCTCAATGCCCCCTGAATCCCCTCAAAACTCCTCCAAGGACCCTTGTATCCTCCAAACCCCTCAAAGACCAACCCAAATTTCCCCTTCTGTACCTCAGTAACCCCCAGATCATCTCTAGACCCAAACACCTCCCTGAAAATCCCACCGCGGAGCCCAGTATCCCTTCAAGGACCCTCCTGGGACCCTCAACGCCCCCAGAATCCCCTCAAAATCCCCCAAAGACCAACCCAAATTTCCCCTTCAGCACCTCAGTAACCCCCAAATCCCTTCCAGACTCAAATATCTCCCTGAAAATCCTCCTTAGACCCTCTATTCTCTCAAAGACCCTCCTCAACCCCTCCAGCATCCCCTCAAGGACCCTCGTATCCCCTATACCCCTCAAAGACCAACCCAAATTTCCCCTTCGGCACCTCAGTAACCCCCAGATCATCTCTAGACCCAAACGCCCCCAGAATCCCCTCAAAATCCCCCAAGGACCCCCTCATCCCCCAAAGACCAACCCAAATTTCCCCTTCTGTACCTCAGTAACCCCCAGATCATCTCTAGACCCAAACACCCCCAGAATCCCCTCAAAACTCCTCCAAGGACCCTTGTATCCCCCAAACCCCTCAAAGACCAACCCAGATTTCCCCTTCAGCACCTCAATAACCCCCAAATCCTTTCCAGACTCAAATATCTCCCTGAAAACCCCACCACAGAGCCCAGTATCCCTTCAAGGACCCTCCTGGGAACCTCAACGCCCCCAGAATCCCCTCAAAATCCCCCAAAGACCAACCCATATTTTCCCTTCAGCACCTCAGTAAACCCCAGATCATCTCTAGACCCAAATGCCCCCAGAATCCCCTCAAAATCCCCCAAGGACCCCCATACCCCCCAAAGACCAACCCAAATTTCCCCTTCAGCACCTCAATGATCCCCAAATCCCTTCCAGACCCCAATATCTCCCTGAAAATCCTCCCTAGACCCCAATATCTCCTCAAGGACCCTCCTCAACCCCTCCATCATCCCCTCAAAACTCCCCCAAGGACCCACGTATCCCCCAAACCCCTCAAAGACCAACCCAAATTTCCCCTTCAGCACCTCAATAACCCCCAAATCCCTTCCAGACTCAAATATCTCCCTGAAAATCCCACCACAGAGCCCAGTATCCCTTCAAGGACCCTCCTGGGACCCTCAACGCCCCCAGAATCCCCTCAAAATCCCCCAAGGACCCCCTCATTCCCCAAAGATCAACCCAAATTTCCCCTTCAGCACCTCAATGACCCCCAAATCCCTTCCAGACCCAAACACCTCCCTGAAAATCCCACTGCCGAGCCCAGTATCCCTTCAAGGACCCTCCTGGGACCCTCAACGCCCCCAGAATCCCCTCAAAATCCCTCACGGACCCCCTCATCCCCCAAAGACCAACCCAAACTTCCCCTTCAGCACCTCAATAACCCCCAAATCCTTTCCAGACTCAAATATCTCCCTGAAAATCCTCCTTAGACCCTCTATTCTCTCAAAGACCCTCCTCAACCCCTCCAGCATCCCCTCAAAATCCCCCAAGGACCCCCATACCCCCCAAAGACCAACCCAAATTTCCCCTTCAGCACCTCAGTAACCCCCAGATCATCTCTAGACCCAAATATCTCCCTGAAAATCCCACCACAGAGCCCAGTATCCCTTCAAGGACCCTCCTGGGACCCTCAACACTCCCAGAATCCCCTCAAAATCCCCCAAGGACCCCCATACCCCCAAAGACCAACCCAAATTTCCCCTTCAGCACCTCAATGACCCCCAAATCCCTTCCAGACTCAAATATCTCCCTGAAAATACTCCTTAGACCCTCTATTCTCTCAAAGACCCTCCTCAACCCCTCCAGCATCCCCTCAAAACTCCCCCAAGGACCTCCTCATCCCCCAAAGACCAACCCAAATTTCCCCTTCAGCACCTCAATAACCCCCAGATCATCTCTAGACCCAAATATCTCCCTGAAAATCCTCCTTAGACCCTCTATTCTCTCAAAGACCCTCCTCAACCCCCCAAGAATCCCCTCAAAATCCCCCAAGGACCCCCATACTCCCCAAAGACCAACCCAAATTTCCCCTTAAATTATCCCCAAATCCCCTCCAGACCCCGATATCTCCTCAAGGACCCTCCTCAACCCCCCAAAAATCCCCTCAAAACTCCCCCAAGGACCCTCTTATCGCCCAAACCCCTCAAAGACCAACCCAAATTTCCCCTTCAGCACCTTAGTAACCCCCAAATCCCTTCCAGACTCAAATATCTCCCTGAAAATCCCACCACAGAGCCCAGTATCCCTTCAAGGACCCTCCTGGGACCCTCAACGCCCCCAGAATCCCCTCAAAATCCCCCAAAGACCAACCCAAATTTCCCCTTCAGCACCTCAATAACCCCCAAATCCCCTCCAGACTCAAATATCTCCCTGAAAATCCTCCTTAGACCCTCTATTCTCTCAAAGACCCTCCTCAACCCCTCCAGCACCCCCTCAAAACCCCTCAAGGACCCCCTCATCCCCCAAAGACCAACCCAAATTTCCCCTTCAGCACCTCAGTAACCCCCAGATCATCTCTAGACCCAAATATCTCCCTGAAAATCCCACCACGGAGCCCAGTATCCCTTCAAGGACCCTCCTGGGACCCTCAACGCCCCCAGAATCCCCTCAAAATCCCCCAAAGACCAACCCAAATTTCCCCTTCAGCACCTCAGCAACCCCCAGATCCCTTCCAGACTCAAATATCTCCCTGAAAATCCTCCTTAGACCCTCTATTCTCTCAAAGACCCTCCTCAACCCCTCCAGCATCCCCTCAAAACCCCCCCAAAGACCAACCCAAATTTCCCCTTCTGTACCTCAGTAACCCCCAGATCATCTCTAGACCCAAACGCCCCCAGAATCCCCTCAAAATCCCCCAAGGACCCCCATACCCCCCAAAACCCAGCCCAAATTTCCCCTTCTGTACCTCAGTAACCCCCAGATCATCTCTAGACCCAAACACCTCCCTGAAAATCCCACCATGGAGCCCAGTATCCCTTCAAGGACCCTCCTGGGACCCTCATAGCCCCCAGAATCCCCTCAAAATCCCCCAAAGACCAACCCAAATTTCCCCTTCAGCACCTCAGCAACCCCCAGATCATCTCTAGACCCAAATATCTCCCTGAAAATCCTCCCTAGACCCCAATATCTCCTCAAGGACCCTCCTCAACCCCTCCAGCATCCCCTCAAAACTCCCCCAAGCACACTCATAACCCCCAAACCCCTCAAAGACCAACCCAAATTTCCCCTTCTGTACCTCAGTAACCCCCAGATCATCTCTAGACCCAAACATCTCCCTGAAAATCCCACCACAGAGCCCAGTATCCCTTCAAGGACCCTCCTGGGACCCTCAACGCCCCCAGAATCCCCTCAAAATCCCCCAAGGACCCCCATACCCCCCAAAGACCAACCCAAATTTCCCCTTCAGCACCTCAATAACCCCCAAATCCCTTCCAGACTCAAATATCTCCCTGAAAATCCTCCTTAGACCCTCTATTCTCTCAAAGACCCTCCTCAACCCCTCCAGCATCCCCTCAAAACTCCCCCAAGGACCCCCTCATCCCCCAAAGACCAACCCAAAGTTCCCCTTAAATTATCCCCAAATCCCCTCCAGACCCCAATATCTCCTCAAGGACCCTCCTCAACCCCCCAAGAATCCCCTCAAAATCCCCCAAGGACCCCCTCACCCCCCAAAGACCAACCCAAATTTCCCCTTCAGTACCCCAGTAACCCCCAAATCCCTTCCAGACTCAAATATCTCCCTGAAAATCCTCCTTAGACCCTCTATTCTCTCAAAGACCCTCCTCAACCCCTCCAGCATCCCCTCAAAATCCCCCAAGGACCCCCATACTCCCCAAAGACCAACCCAAATTTCCCCTTAAATTATCCCCAAATCCCCTCCAGACCCCGATATCTCCTCAAGGACCCTCCTCAACCCCCCAAGAATGCCCTCAAAACTCCCCCAAGGACCCTCGTGTCCCCCAAACACGTCAAAGACCAACCCAAATTTCCCCTTCAGCACCTCAATGACCCCCAAATCCTTTCCAGACTCAAATATCTCCCTGAAAACCCCACCACAGAGCCCAGTATCCCCTCCGGGACCCCTCAGGGACCCCTCCCCATGACCCCCACTCCTCCCCCCGCCGGCCCCCAGTGACTCCCCGGTCTCTGTGCCCAGGCCCCCCGGAGCATGGCCCGCTCGCCCCCCGGCCCGGTGCCCCCCACCCGGGGCTGTGTCCCCGCACCGCCCCCGCACCGGCTCCGCGCTTTGGCCCACGCGTGGCTGGACGAGGACGCGCCGTGGCCGGACGCGGCGGCGGCGGCCGTGGGGGACACCGCGACACGCGCGGAGCTGCTCAGCAAAGCCGGGGGGGACCCGGGGGGTGTCCTGGCGGGGGTCCCCTTCGCCGAGGCCGTTTTTGGGGTGTCGGGGTGCCGGGTCACCTGGAGGGTGGCCGAGGGGGCGGCGCTGCCCCCCGGGCGGGCGGTGGTGGCCGAGGTGGAGGGTCCGGCCGCGGGGGTGCTGGCGGGGGAGAGGGTGGCGCTCAATATTTTGGGGCGATGCAGTGGGGTGGCCTCGATGGCCGCCAGGGCCGTGGGGGTGGCCCGGGGTCAGGGATGGGCGGGGGTCGTGGCGGGTACCCGAAAAACCACACCCGGGTTCCGCTTGGCGGAGAAATACGCGCTGGGGGTGGGGGGCGCCGACCCCCACCGGGGAGGTTTGGGGGGGCTGACGATGCTCAAGGACAATCACCGAGCGCTGGCGGCGGCAGCGGGGGGGTTCGAGCAGGTGGGGACGCCGAACTTTGGGGGGATAATTCTGGGGGGGCGTTGAATTGGGGGGTTCTGGTTGCGGGGGGTCTCCAGAATTTGGGAATTTGGGCGGTTGTGGGGTGCTAAGTGGAAATTGGGGGGGTCAGGGCACCAGTTTGGTGGGGGGACCCTTGAATTGGCAGGTTTTGGGTGGTAGGCGTGACAAGCCCAATTTTGGGGGTGTGGTTTGGAGGAAATGGGGGGTTTGGTGGAGGAGATTCGGTTTTGTGGGGAGTGATGGTTTGGGGAATTTCAAGGGTGGTGGGGAAGTGCCAATATTTGAAAGGGACACCAATTTTGGAGCAAACTCCTGGATTAGGCTGATCTGGGTGTGGACTGATGGGGGGGATCTGGGGAGGGGGTGGGGGGATCCCAGTTTGGGAGGGAAATTGGAGGGTAACCCCTGAATGGGGGGATCGTGTGTTGGGTAACTAAATTTGGGTGTTTGTAGGTCGGGCAACCCCAATTTTGGGGTCGGGGGACACCTTTGAATTGGGGCAATCTGAGGGGAGGACCCTAATTTGCGGGGGGCAATGGGGGGACTCCAATCTTGAGTCATCCACTGGGGGGATCCCAAATTTTACCCCACCCCATATTGGGTCAGAGGGATTGGGTGTTGTTCTGGGGTTCCCCCTGACCCCCCTCTTCCCCAGATGATTTTGGGGGCGCGCCGGGCCGGGGGCTTCACCCGCCGGCTGGAGGTTGAGTGCTCGAGTGCAGAGGAGGCGCTGGCGGCTGCTCGGGCTGGGGCTGACATCGTCCTGCTGGACAACCTGGCCCCACAGGTGAGCCCCAAAATCAGAACTGCCCCAATAATCGTGGGACCCCAAAAATGGAGGGGTTGAATTATCAAAATGGGGACAAACCCCCAAAATGGGGCACAGATCTCCCAAAAAGTGGGAGTGGTAATGCCAGAGATTTGACCTCTGCCCCCACCAGGTGAGTTCCCAAAATCTGGCAGGGACCCCCAAGAACTGGGAGGAGCCTCCAGGTGTGAGGCTGGACCCTAAAAATTGGGGTCTGGACCCTTAAAAATGTGAGGCAGAGAAGTGAAATGGGTTGAAGACCTCAAAAAGTGGGGGGTAACCACATAGATTCTGCTCTCCCCAGCTGAGCCCCCAAAATCGAGGGGAGCAGCAAAAGTGGGGGACACCCAGGGGTGAGGCTGCACCAGTAAAATGGGAATTTGCTGTAAGTGTGGGGCAGCCCCAAAGATACAAGGGGGAATCCCAATTTTGGGGGGTCAGAGGGTTGGGTAGTTCCAGTTTGGGGAGTTTCTGGGTGGAGGGACCTTTGACTTGGGGAGTTTAGGTGGGGGAACCACAATTTGGGGCTCAGTGGGTGGGCAAATGCCTGGGTGGGAGGGGTTGGGTAGGGAGCCACAATTTTGGGGGGTTCAGCAGAGGGAGCCCCAATTTGGGTGGTTAGTGGATTGGAGAACCAAAATTTAGGGTTCTCCTGGAGGTCAGTGGTGGGTGTGGCCCCCAATTGGGCAGGTGTTGGGTGGGAAACAACTGTTTTTTGGGGGGTTCTGGTTTAAGGGGGATTACCCTTGATATGGAGGATTTTTGGGTGGACACCCCAATTTTGGAGCTCTGTGGCTGGAGTAATCCCTCAATTGGTGGTTTCTTGTTGGGGGGGGATCCAAATGGGACAGATTTGGGCAGTGAGACCCCCATTTTGGGGGAGAATCCTGCACAACCCTGATGCATTGTACATGCAGATGTCCAGGGTGCCCCCAAATTTTGGGGAGGGAGTGCTCCCTGCTAACGGGGTGTCCCCCCCAGGAGCTGCACGCGGCGGCGGCGCAGGTCAAGGCTGCACACCCCGGGGTGATGGTGGAGGCCAGCGGGGGCATCGTTTTGGAGACCCTCCCCCAGTTCTTGGGGCCCCACATCGACGTGGTGTCCATGGGGTGTCTGACCCACAGCGCTCCCGCCCTGGACTTCGCACTGCGGGTGTTGGAACCCTAAAATCCATCCTGGGACCCCAAAAACCCAGCTTAGAACTCCCAAAATCCTACCTGGGACCCACTAAAACCTACTCCAGAACCCCAAAACTCAACCTGAGATTCCTGAATCAATCCCAGGGACAGCAAAACTCACTGTGAAAATCCAAAATTCACCCTGGGAATCCTCAAACCCCAAAAGGCCCCCTGCTGAGGGGACTGCAAAATCTGGCACTGAGTCCTCCCATCTCCCAGGGGTGCCAATGCCTGAAACATCCCCACCTGGGACTCCAAAATCCATCTTGGGACCCACAAAATCCATTTTGGACGCCAAAAATCTATCTTGGAAGTCCCTAAATCATCTCTGGGACTCCAAAAATCCACCCTGGGGCCCTCCAAAACCCACCCTGGGACCCCCAAATCTCCCCTGAGACCCCACAAAGCCCACCCTGGGGGATCCCAAATCTCCATCCTGGGGTTCTCACACTCATCTCCCTCCTCTAAGGTGGACCCAAAATTCCATCCTGAGGTTTCCCCTTCTCTCTTTTTGCTTTGTACCCCCAAATAAACCCTTACCTCACCCACTGCCCCCCAAAATGTCCCTCCAGTTTTTTCAGGGTGTCACCCTCAAAACCCTCAAGTTTTGCCCTCAATGCAAAACCAACCACTTTATAACCAACAAAAGGGGGGGTTGTGACCACTGAACCGTTGACCCCCTACTCCAAACCAGTCAGTTCTGCTGGTCAGTACTGGGATCAGCCTTTTGCAAGGAACCCCCATCTCCTCCCTGAGAAACTGGAACGAAAAACAGAAATCCTTTGCCTTGGTGAGGGAATTGGCACTGGGGACTGAGCCCATAGAAGGGCCCAGACACAGTTTAGGGGTCCCAGATCTCAGCTGAAGGGCCCCACACGCAGTTGGAGGATCCCAAACCCCACTTTGAGGGGCCCAAACTCCAGGTGGGAGGGGTTGAGACACAGTTTAAGGATTCCAGACACCAGTTTGAGAGGCCCAGGTCCCAGTTTGGAGAGCTGAGACCCCAGTGTGAGGATCCCAGATCCTGCTGGAGTGCTGCAGACCCTCGTTTGGGGGTACCAGATCTCAGTTTGAGAGTCCCAGACCTAATTTAAAGAAGCCAGATTACAGTTTGAGGGTCCCTGACCCCAGTTTAGGAGTCCTGAACCCCCAATTTGAGGGAGCCAAGCCCCAGTTTAGGGGTCCCAGATCCCAGTTTAAGGGTCCCAGACCCACCAGCAGCACACCTGGCACCAGCACAGCACTGAGAATTGGGATCAGAGGAGAAATCTGGCTGTAAATCACAAAATCAGGATCTAATTCCTGGCCTGATCCCACCCAGCTCCATCACACCTGTGTGTGCCCACCTGCCCGCAGGTACCTTTGCAATAATTGCTCCAGGTGCAGTTGGTGTTTTCTGAAATAATCCACAATTTTACACCTATATCTCCTCTGGGGCCTTTCCTTAGGGTGATTTTTGGGATTAAACAGGGACATTACTCTCTGCAGCTCTCTAGGTTGTGGGAATTCATCAGCCTGAATTGCCAGGCCCTTCAAATGAGCAGCATGAGATACCGAAACTGGGCAAATCCCAAAAATCACCTCAAATTTTACACAGGTGAAGGGAAAGATCCATTTATCATGTTGGATTTTCCTCTCTGATTTCACTGTACTGCACAGCAATGGGAATTTTTTCTTCCAGAGTTAATTTCCAGGTGCTGGCTTCAAATTCCTTCTATTTATCTATCAGTTCTGGGAGAAAAAAAAAATAACAGGGGAAAAAAGGGGAAAAGGTCCCAAAGACCAAACTCCTTCCCTGTAGAGGACCCTCCTCAAGCTCTGAGCAATGACTCAAACTTACACAATTATTCAAATTTTCAGTAACTCCTAAAAATGGGGCAGTTCCAAAATTATTCAGATCCCACTGAAAATGGCTCAGTTGCTTCCAAAATTATTAAAAGGGCCAGTATTGAACCAGGATGGGACCAGTAAGAACCAGTATGGGACCAGAAAGGGATTGGTACTAGACCAATACAGGACTGTTATGCAGCCAGTAGGGCTAGTATGGCACCAGTATGGGACCAGTATGGGACCAGTATGGGACCAGTAGAGACCAAAACAAGCAAATTCAGGACATTTACGGGACTGGTGCTGGAACACTATGGGCTGGTGCAGACAAATACAGGCCAGTACAAACCAGTATGAGCCAGTAAAGAACAGCACAAACCAGTATGGGACCAGTGCAGGCCAGTACACACCAGTGTGAGGGCTGGTGTGACACTGTGGACCAGTATTGCACCAGCATGGGGCCAGCAGAGCCCTACACAAGCCAGTGCTGGAGAAGGATTGGACCAGTATGGGAACCAGTATAGGCCAGTACAGGAGCTGCACGGCCCCAGTTTGAGCCTTTCAGTCTCACTTCACTGCCCATAAAGTTCTGGGAAAGATTTTCCTGGGGGCTTTGTCTTGGGCTCCTCCTGGGACACGGTGACCCCCTGGCTGCCCACGGGGTGCAGATGGGGAATCTGCCTTCCACCAAAACTTTCCAGACTGTCTCTCCCAGGATCCCATCAAACATGCCATGTGATGGGTGACAATGGGCACAAAGGGTGACAGTGACTGGGGTGGCATCAGGCTGGCACTGGTCACTCGTGGGGTTCTGCAGGGCTCCATACTCAGCCCTGTCTCCATAAATGACTTGGACACAGGACTGGCAGGGATCCTGAGCCCTGCACAGCCAGTACAAAATGGGAACAGTTGTGCAGGGCAGTGCTAGAGCAGATTTGGTGTGTGCCTGGTCTTGTCAGTGTCACAGAAGGGTGACCCTGAACTGGTAAGGATTAGCATTGACTCCACAATTCCCAGAAGGCACAAGAAGAATTCACAATCTCTTTATTATAGATATCATTATTTAGAAACCCATTGCTTTTATAGACAGTTATGATACAGCTGGACCTAATCAATTAATCATAACATTATCACCACTGGCTAATTAAGAAACCACCCTTTGATAAACAAATCTTCATAACACATTCCACGTGTTCACAACAACAGATGCAGCAGGCTAAGATAAGAATTGTTTTTCATTCTTTGCTCTTCTCACAAACTTTCCCAGGACAGTGCCTTGTGCTGCTCTCTGTAGCCACATGTCAGGGTCAACCCAGCACAATAACTGCACACACAAATGAATAATTTAAAAAACACAAATATCTGCACATCCAAGCACATCCAAGCGCGGGTGCTCAGCTCTGCCCTCCACACCCCTCCCAGCAGCCATTTCCCTGTGCCCAGGCCATGGCTCAGACACCTCTGCCCATGGTCTGGGGTGTCCAGGCTTTGGGGTTCAGCTCTTGGGGCAGCACTTGTTTGAGCTGTGGAGACCAAGGACACCTCAGGACTGCTCAGGACAGCCCAACAATCCCATTCTGTGCCTGACTGTTGTCCAAACACTCCCGGACTTCTGGCAGCCTTTGGGCCATGACCATTTCTTGGGGATCCTGCTCGGTGCCCGAGCACCCTATGGGAGAAGAACCTCTTCCTGATATCCAACCTAAACCTTCCAGACACAGCTCCAGCCATTCCCTCAGGTCCTGAAGGTGGTCCCAGAGAGCAGAGTCGGAGCTGCCCCGCAGGGGGACGTTGCCAGGGCACTGCTGACTCAGATCCAGCCCCTCATTCCCCAGTCTGTGCATCCTGCCCCCCATCCCAGGGCCAGAAGCCATCCCTTGTGTTTGTTGGTCTCCACATGGTTGGTGGTTGTCCCTTTCTCCCGTGTCCGTGTCTCTCCAAGGGCATTCAGGTCTTCCAGGGAGCCGACAGCTCTTCCCATTTTGTACTGGCTGTGCAGTGCTCAGGGTCCCTGCCAGTCCTGTGTCCAGGTCATTTATGGAGACATTGAGGGGCACAGGGCCGAGGATGGAGCCCTGCAGAACCCCACGAGTGACCAGTGCCAGCCCGATGCCACCCCAGTCACTGTCACCCTTTATGCCCATCGTCACCCATTACATGGCATGTTTGTCCAGCTGGGGCTGGACAGTTTGTTCTGAAGGATCCTGGGAGAGACAGTCTGGAAACCTTTGCTGGAATCCCAAAAGATTACATCTTCTGGTTTTCCTTGATCAACCAGGTGGGCCACTTTGTCTTAAAAGGGGAAAAAAAAAGGAAAAAGCTAATATTTAAACAAAAACCTAACTTTATTTACAAAACTCCAGCTGGTTTGCCAGCCATAATCCTTAGGACAAAGTTAATATCCAGGCTCAAGGATGCCTGTATGACCCTTCAGACATGAAATGCTGACCAGCCACATCCAGAGCCTTCTCTGAGAAGGACCTTAGGAAGTCAGGGAGTCCTTTCTGCTCCTTGTGAACCAGTGGGAGGGCATCCCTGATGATTCTTGCCTGAATGTCCCTCTCTGGACACAACAGGCCCCAGCTCAGCGGTGCCAGCGCCACAGAGCGCATCGGGACTCTCCCGGTGTTCGCTGCTCCCTTGACCTCCTCAGGATCGAGCTGGTCTGAGCCACCAGGCAGTGGATGAATTCACACCCATCTTCCTCCAAGGCCTGAAGCTCTGTGACCAGAACAGAGCTGAGATGAGCTCTGGTGCTTGCAGAGACCCCCTCACACTCCCAGCCCTCACTCCCCACTCCCCTCTGAAAACCAAAGCAGGCAGCTCCTGCTCCTTGAGATGCCACATGATGGTCCCTGGGCACAGAGCTCTGTCAGCCTCTGCTGTTCCCCAGCATGGCCCCAGCAGCCAGGAACCACCAGTAGCCTGGATGTGGCACTGGGCAAGGGCTGGGGGCGACAGGAGCTGCCCAAAGTGGGACCCTCGTCTGGGACTCACCAGTGAACCTGACAGTCCAGCCTTGCACGCATTCCTGAGGGTCCCTCAGGTACCACAGGCTCTGATGAAGGTGCTGCTTAGCCCTGCTGCTGTCCTTTTCCATCTGGAGAGGCCATAAAGGTGTGAGCATTGTCACATACCCTCCAGGTGGATGGAGCAGCCCCTTCTGCCAGCACTTCCATTATCAAGAGCCCTCCTCCCTCCCACTGGGTGCTGGAAGGGGAGATGGGCCTGGAGAAGAGACCCTGGGGCTCTGTTCTTGAGCCAGGAACAAGGATGCAGCTCCAGGCTGTGGGGTCTCTTCCCCATGGCCTAGCACAGTCCCTGGGGTGCATCCTCACCAAGCAGTCCACCCTCTTCCAGGTCTGCCATGTTTTCACCACATGGAAATGGCCGTGCCAGCTCCTGCTGCACTGGTTCTGCAGGGACCCTTCCCTGGGGCTGTGCTGCGGGAGGGAATCCTGTTGCAGCATTTTTGAGAGAAAGAGGACATGAGTTATGAGATTTGAGCTACTCCAGTCTAGGCCTCAGATTTGGGCCTTGTGGGCCTTCAAGCCTCTGACGCAGTTAGAAATTCAGAGCTTGTGGCGCAGATAGAAATAGTCTTAAGGTGTTATGGGGACCACTGGGTTGTTTAGGTGTGAATTAGTATACGTTTTATGGTGTAAGGTGTAGGCCGTTTTAAGGAAAAGGTAAACAATGTTAGCCTACCAATCAGAGTGTCTTTGTTTTT